ATATATATATATATTAATATATATATATATATATATATGTATATATATATATATAAGTTTATTAACGCATCCTTTCGGATCATTGTTCGCAGAGAACGGAGAAAGTTTCCCGTACGAGTCATGCATAAGTGCGGGGGAATCGCTAAAGACGACGGATGCGCAATGTACGAACGTTGCGCAATATCCGTTCTACTAAAGTCGTCGATTGTAGAAGAAATGAAACCGCGCATGATTATGTTATAATTGTACCAAAACTAAGAGTTATATCTCCGTTAAACTGATTATTTTCTCTCTTATGCCGGAATAATAATAAACGTTGAAATTTTTTATGCTGAGTAACCTAACCTAACCTAACCTAACCTGATTTCGATTCCGCGCGCCACAATAGAAGGTATGTACATAAATACATACGTGCGTACACAGGTGAATAAATTTTCATGAAGATTGTGAAAAATCTGTCAATATATATATATACGTGTTTCTAAAACCCAAAAAACTTGAATTATAAACAAACTTTTTCAATTATAAATATTTATTGTGTTTTCAGAGCCTCGCACATTTTTTCGTTGGAATCCGGTTTTGCGATCGCGTAGGTGTGTGTTGAAGATTTCTTACTCATGTTAGAGTTAAATGCTCGAGGCGCGACTATTAACGTGACTGCATTATTGCCGATGTGTCCTGTAACTTCATCTACGAGTAACGCGTTTTGTCATCACGCAATGGACTTTTCGTACTTTTTCGCCATTAAAACACGCGCGTCCCTAGACGCAGTAATGAAAGTCGCGGCGTGGCAAAGCGCGCGCCGCACCTGGCGCGGTAAATCGTTATACACACGTTGACGGTAACGCAGCGATCCTTTATTACATGACATTTTATTTCCTTTCGTGCTGAGCCAGCGATAGAGTAAAATGACGATAAAGCAAGCCGATCAGAATTTTTCAAGGGTGTCGAACTCTCTTGCCGGAGATACACCGTATTCACGAATGTACGAGCTAATCTAACTTCTACATGATCGACCAGATTAAACTTGTCGCTCATTACCCTCGGGAGCAAACCATGTGTCCGCGAACGAACAGCCTATGAGATACCTATAGAATGCATGTGAAGTCAGACAGACCCCGTGTGCCTGAAGCCCATAAAATTTTCAAGCCGTATTTCATACAAGATTGAGTGATATGTGTGTATAAAAATCACAGTCTGTGTATATATTTACATAATATGCACATACCCACATAATATTTATATAATATTGTTTATGAAGCAAACAATGCTTTATAACATAACACACATTCTTATGTGTAGATAAAATCAAGACAATTTGTAAATACAGATACCGCAACGATATCTTAAACGGGATCGTAACATTGTGTGTTATAAAACGAACCGTTAAAATACCGAGCGACAAAAATCGAGCGGCGCTTGAAACGGCAATAATACGTTCGGAGATCTGGAAAGCTTCAAGGTCGTAGGAAAGGGATCGCCAGTTATGCGTCATACGTCCGGAATGTAACACCCTTCGTCTTGCAGCCGTAAACGAGCAAACGTCTCGGTCGAGCGTTATGATACGACGCGACGTTCGAACCTTCGAACGTGCCGTCAGATCGAGCGAGGCGACGCGTGTCTGGTCGTGTTTCACACTTCGCCCCGCGGCTCCTATAAGAAGACGCGCGTTTCAGGGGCCAGACGATCTTACGTCCGTGCTCCGTCTCCGAAAAACAGCCGAGATTAAAGATACAATTCCAAAAAAGAAACGGAGAGAGAGAGAGACAGAGAGAGACAGAGAGAGAGAGAGAGAGAGAGAGAGAGAGAGAGAAATTTTGTGTGTATGTGTATGGATATACTTGTGTCATCGCTCATGGAACAAACATACGTTCACGTTGAAATGAAACCGAAATCCGAGCGCGCATGTACGCATACATTTTATACATACACACATATATATATATATATATATACATACGAGTGCGTGTTCGTTTTCGAGATCTCGCCAATGACCCAGGAACGTCCGCGAGACGATTCTCGGAACGATTCTTGGAACGACGGATGCATTTCGAGGCTTTTGTGTTACCCTGCGCTTCAGTCACGGCCGAGGGACACGGCAGAAAGAAGGTCTCTTTCGTAGATGGTCGTATTTCATTTTATAGACACCGTGATTATACGATCCTTTGTCAACTCTAAAACGACGACGCTTCGAAAACGATCTTCGCGCACACTTAAATAAATCCTCACTTTTACTTCATATCGACATATTCGAATAATTACACTAGTTTAAAAAAAAAATGTGTATAAAATAAACGATTTTACTCTTATTAGCAATCTATCATTTATTCATAATACGTATCTTTCTTTGGTAATTTAAGATGTTTTATTAGTGCGTATCTTTTTCACGTGAATTTATTTACAAACATTAGAGTAAAAACTGACTGCTTCTCATTTTACGATATACTTTCGTCGAGAATATTGGTACTTAATTTATAGTTGCATCTTGAAAAATCATGCTGCCGGATTCTTCGAGGTTGAAGGAACCTCGGAGGGCCGCGCACACGATTATAACCGCGCTCGCGATTCGCTCGTAAACATAATCAAGCCGGGGCGAGAGTGCGTTCGAATCGTTCCGAGAGACGCGTTCGGTATGTCCGGCGGAACTGCTTGGGTGGTCGGAACACAAATTCCAGCCCCCGAAGTTCCGAGAAAGTTCATACACATATCTCATCGTATAATACGATTCATATCGAATCTCGTTAAATATGCAATAGAAGCAATTTCCTTGCTCTCACTCGAACAATGGATCTTCCTAGTGAAAAGCGTGCGTTAACCCTTCAAGAATTTTCTAGAAATCTAGTTTTTCTAGAAAAAAAAACTAGGTTTTTTAAACGCTTATTATATCTTTGAAACTATTAGAGATTTTTCCAATTTGGTTTCTTCGATCGACGCAGAATTGTTCAAACTTTTGACTCAAAAAAACAAAATTAAAAGTATTGATTTTTCGTGGAGATATTTGATCTTAAAGTCGCGTGAGTCTCATAGGCCCGGTCTGGCCAACATGTCACTTTTGAGAATATGTATTACAAATGCTAGTAGCGCGTTATCGCGTAAAACTGTTGGGAAAACAATGACTAAGCATAACTATATATATCTTCTCAAGACATTTGAGAGATTTTTCGATTTGTATAAAATTGTTGGAATGCATTGTTCTATGGTGATTATTTTCGACGACGTATTGACAGTGTGATAATAGACACAAATAACACTGATAACGTTGGTAGTTACTTCAAAATGTGATCGGTTTAGTCAAGTTGTATATTCCGTCGACGAACATAAATTTGTATTTCTTTCGACATCTTTTTGAGAGAAATTGTTGGTTTCTTTTGACAATAATGCAGATCTTCTGAAAGTGCTTCCTCAAGCGCGTCACTGTATGCGTACTTATACACACACACACACACACACACTAACACACACAAATTCACGCGCATGTACAATTCCGATTATCGTGCAAACATCGCGTTGGCTGATGTAGCCTTGAAATTCTGCAAATCGAATACAAGGCAATCTGCATTTCACAAAGATAACGTTTCAGCATGTCACTGACAACGTTGTGGTTTTATCGAAGTTTACGAAGCAAATGCCGTTATCATCTTTATTAACAAAATTTAATGCATAAAAAAACTACTTCATAATTTTTATATCATATTTTACGACTCGGTAACAAATTGTGATACAGAATTCGATACGAATTCGGGCAAAATTATTGCAACAGGTCAGGAATAATTTGTGAGACAAGCAGGCGTGTAAGTTTGGTTTTGATCAGCAAAATTGTTTCTTTTGGAAATTTGCGAGAAAAAAGTAAAAAGAGAGCAACAAAACATTTTAATTAAAAAGTTAAGTAGAATTTTAACTGAGAAAAAAGAGGAAATTGTTTCTATATAACAATACTATATGTTGACAATCGATATGCTATAACAACAAAAGAAATTTCCGAGATCATTGCACAATAACATTCAATCGTTATCGGTGATTGTCCTGTCGATTCTTGAATGGCATTCCACGAAATTTTGTTCGTCATCGTTTGTGTAACGCAATGAGAACCGCTGAACTATACGCGATTCGGTTATATAGTGTTCGTGCAGGAAAAAAACACGCAATGCAAATCGTGCACATAGAAAGACCTACGTCATCACGTACTGGCGTCTTCTGTCTTTTCGTCGTTATTGTGTCTTGTTGATCTGTCCAAGATAAGCAATACCGATTTGGTGAAGACGCGCGCACGTCGCAAACGCACAACGTAGTCGCACATGGATGAAACCAATTTTTATTTTGCAATCTACTGTTTGTATTATTTTCTAATGATACAAAAAATACAGTTGTTCCGTGTCTATCTCCTCGATTTTTACGATTGGAACTCAATCATGGATTTAGACAGAAAAACATTCTTGGACATTATAATTTCTCTGATGAACTGAATTAATTTGTTATTAACGTGACTTTGAATTGTAATTAAAAGTTTGTTTTTTGGCGCAAAAAAAATTAGCAGTCAGACGTGAAATCCTTGAGACACTAGGCCGCGCGTAAAAGGTTAAGTCCGTCCATCTAGCTTTTAGAGGTCACACCGTTTATCTAGCTTTTAGAGTCCACAGACAAACCGGAAAAATATCGTCTTAGAATCTGATTCTTATGAATCGACATTACGAAGACGAGAGTAACCGAGATGTCTAATACCTCGGGCGATATACGGTATCCTAAATTGTTAGTGGGCGTTCGACTAATGGGTCGGTAATGAGAGTTGTCGGACCAGTATAATGACCATGCTGAAACGAATGTTGAGTTCTCTCGATCGGCTTGAAAAAAAAAAAAAAACACTCTTGATAGATAAGTGCGCGTGTGCGATCACTTATCTACGATAATTGCAATCGATTATATCACAAAAATGTGATCTAGAATCACTATTCACTCGACCGATAAGATCTTTGCGTAATTAGACATACAAGACGATTTGCAATCGTTCGATTCCAAGATCAATAATAAAGAAAACACAATTTATTTTTTCTTATATTTTTTTTTTTATACAGCGACAATTAATTAAGTTTGGCAAATACAGTGATCTATCAGTTGATTGATTTAACTCATGTCAAGTCTTGAAAAACTTGTTTTCTCTGAAACACTCACCGAAAGCTAATTCTATGAACAAACGGTGCATCCTCAAATTATATTTGATAAAGTACTTATAATCGTTTTTGAATATATTTACACGCTCTAAAAACAAACTTATTTTCACGCATTTTTAAAATTATGTTTTGGCGTGAACACACAAGCACAATTTTTTTTAA